CCCTCTCTCTAAAAATCAATGAAAAAAAATATCCTTGGGTGAGGATCGACAACAACAATAAAATAAGTAAAATTAAACATTTAGTTCCACAGTTGCACTAGCCACACTGAACTGAGCTTTGAAGGAAGCAGGAAGCAAGCACGTAACATACTCCCCTTCCCCAGGCCGGCAGAGGCAGCTGCCTCTGAAGTACTGTTGCAACAGGCTACCATCATGGCACTGGCAACCAAGTGCCTGCTGAGTGCCACACATCTCTGAGGACCGCGTCCCCATTTCACAACAGAAGAGATTCTTGTTCCTTTCCCCGTCTCCCTCTCAACTGCTTGTTCGCTAGTCTGCCTTCCCCACTCACTGAGCCCCATGAGGACAAGGACTCTTACTCACCTGTCCTCCTAGAAACTAGCACAGGGCCCACTACTGCTTTATCCAAGAGCAGCAACTTCCTGCTGAGCTTACACGTACATGCTGGAGGGCTCTTTGCAAGGTGCTGGGAGGACAGCAGTAATACAAGGCCTCTGCCCTCAGAGGGATTACAGCAGAGAAGAAGAAATGACAGACATTCAAACACACAATTAAAATAAAGCATATGTAAGTAGGTATTAAGTGAACACAGACTGAGTCAGGGGAAGCTAACAGGCATAAAATGGTATCACACTGCCTGGACAAGAAGGTGCAAAGGAAGCAAGCAGGATTAGCAGAAAAACCCTCATTAAGATTTAAGAACACCAAAGCCTCCTCTGAATAATCCCTCCAACTCATCACCCTCCCTCTGAAATCAGCTGGCTTATGGCTCTTCTCTCACAAGCCAGCTTAGTCTGTAAGTGCTAACAATCTGTCATTCAGCAATCCCACTAGACTAAGCCATTCAGTGTGGCATTTCCCAAATGCATCCAGGAAAGTTCCTTACTCATGGTCTGCAGACATATGAGTGAGAAATACCAGACCTGACAAAGATACACAGGTCTCTCTGCTAGAGCACTCCTCAGAGCCTTTACTGCGTCAATGTTTGCGTATCAATGTACCTTATGAATCTGGAACTTGGGGGTCAGGTCAAAGCTAGCATGCAGTATTTCTCAGTCTTGTTGGACAGGGAATGCTTTTCACAAGTATATCGTTAAACTACTGTTCTAGGGAGTACACTTTGAGAAACACTGGTTTGAGTATTTCCTGTGTAACTTCTAGTGACAAGCACTATGCTCCGCAGAGCAGTGGGCTTTAAACTAGAGTTCTGGTAACTCCCAGGAACATGAAAACTTTTCAAAGGGGAAAATAAATAGCTTTAAGATGATCAATTTGGGGGACTTAACGTCCATACATACTTTTCTCTAAAATTAACTTGCCCAAGGAAGCCTTTGGCTAAATCTCCCTTCCTACCTCTCCTTTCACATTTGCCCTTCTCCCACTTTACAAAAGAAAGACACAAAGGGACAGAAACAAGACTCACATCCCTTCTCCCCACTGTCTTATCTGGCCCTGCCCTGGCTCTGACCCACTCACACTGAGTAACTGCAGCTGGAGTCTGTAAGCCACTGGGGTGTAAGCTATGCAGCACAAGCACTCAGACACCTGCTAAATCACTAAAGAGACTGCATCCTTGCTCCCCTCACCTCCTGTAGTCTCTTTACTTTAAGTCTACTCTTCCTGGACTAATTTACCTCAAAATGCTACTTCCATCCTGTATTTGCCTGCTCAAGAATCACAGTGGCATCTGGCTGGCATGGCTCAGTGGCTGAGTGTTGATCTATGAACCAGGAGGTCACTGTTTAATTCCTGGTTGGGGCACATGCCCAGATTGAGGGTTGGATCCCCCAGTAGGGGGCGTGCAGGAGACAGCCAATAATGACTCTCATCATTATGTTTCTCTCTCTCTCTCTCCCCCCTCTCCCTTCCTCTCTCTGAAACCAATAAAAATATATTTTTTAGAAAAAAGAATCACAGTGGCTCTCCTGGCCAATGCAAACACCTTGGTCAGCATTTAGCCTCCTGCACTCAATCCCTTCCATCCTCAGCTCTGACATGTACCTTCCGCTCCAGTCAGGGAGGTCTCATGGCTTCTTGTTCCTGCCTCCATGCCCTTCGCATGCTGTATCACCTGCCTGGAACACCCTCCCACCCCTCTTGCCAATTATTATTCTGCTTATTCTCCAATGCTCTCAAGCTAAGTCCTGCTCACTTCATGAGGTCATCAGTCTGCCAGTTCACACTGCTGCCCCTCTTTGGTGAGTTCCCCTTACACCACACCCTATGACTCTAAATTACAGTGTGGTAGCCTAAAGTTTTGGTATAGGTTCAAATTCCAGCTCTCTAGTTGTTTAAAGTAAACTTGGGGAAATTATTAACCTCTTTGAGTCTCATCTGCAAAATGGGAATATCAATTATACCAAAGATGTATAAAAGGATAGGTGAAATGAGACCATACTGGGGAGTTAAATTAACAAGTCACTAGAATATAAGCTCCATGAGGGTAAAGAGTTTTGTCTATTTTACATACTGATGTAACTTAAGGCTTGAAACAGTACTTAAAGCATAGTACACATTTGATAAATACTTGGTGAATTATGATTGAAAGAATGAACAAACAACAATGTAATAACTCACTTGATCTAATCTATTCCATAAACCTTTGATGTAGGCATGATTATTATTTCCATTTTATAGAGGAGGAAACTAAGGTCTTGCACAGGCAGGAAACAGAGCAAGGATCTGAACCTAGGCAGTCTGGCTCTGGAACACAGAGTGGGGTACTCTGGTGTGATTATCCCTTCCCAACCTAGGCTCATCCTTGAAAGTGGTTATCAGAATTGGTCTGTTTCTCTTGCCTACTTTCCACAGCACCAGGTAATACTTGGCTGGCAAAGGCCAAAAACAAGATTATCCTACACTTTGCATTAAGTCAGTTATCCCAGAAGAGGATCTCACGGAGTGTGGGGCTATGGTGTGGTCTTACCTTGCCCTTGTACAGGATCACTGGGCAGACAAACCGTCCTCTGCACCTGGCTGTCTTGCTGCGGTTAACGAGGTCTTGCAACTTGCTCACTTGCACGGTGCTCTGAAACCTGACGCATGGACAAAAGAGGCAGGTCAGGCTGGTTTCTAAGTGAGCATGTGTGGGTGGTAAGTGTTTTCACAAAGACCCCATGCTAGGTCTGCATGTGTGTGTGAATACTCATTTGAAATTTAGTAAGTGTTCTAATTCCTAAATTCCAGATCATAGATATGTTTTTCAGAGGGGGAAAAAGTGCTATATCACAGGTATTAAAATTTCAGTCATCCTTATTTCAGAACCTTTAAGATGAGAAAAAAAGCCAACTATTCTGAAGACATGGTATATAAAATAAAGAAACATACACAGCAAACTGATTGTTGATTACTAGTTTCTTCCTCCCACAGTAAGATAGCAAGTGCTCTCGGGAGCCTCTGGAAATCATAGGGCCATTTTTGCTGGAACAAAGGAGGTGAAAGAGAAGCTTTTTTTGGCTTTGAGAAGTATAGTAGTTATTGCACTGGTTTGGTAAGGGAGCTTCTAGAACACGAAAGAGTCAGGTTTAGAAATGAGCTACAGCAAGTCACACCTCATCAAATCATATCAAATCAGTAGATACCCCAACTGACTTTCCCTTAGGTCACACGAGCAGTTCCCTCTGTGCCACAAATGCCTTGAAACTACATTTGATTCTCCCAGGTTGAGTCCTTCCATTGAGCAAACTCTCCGCAAAACCAAGGTGGAGAGCATGCTAGTATGTCCCTCCTAGGGCTCTGTGCAGCCTTTTAATGTACAGGCAGGTACACTTATTCTCGTTAAGCTAGTTGGTGGTTTATTTTCCTGGTTCCCCTACTCAAAGAACCGACTCGGTTTCCATCCAAAGTTCCTGTTTTTATTTTTATTATCTCTTGGCCTTAGGATCTTTTTCTTACAGTGCAAAGCACTAAACTGTGTCTGGCACAATTCTCACATTTGAATGAATAAGTGTAGGCTTGTGTATTTATGTTTGTCTTGCAGGACTGAGCCCTTACCCTATGCAATCTGATGCATCTCTGGGTAGATAGTGTCAGAATTGAGTTGAATTGTAGGACACCCAACTGGAAACCCCCCACCCCCACAATGGAAATGGGCGCAGAACTTTAACCACTATCCCCCAAAGCCTCATCTGTACTTCCCTAATTCTTGCTCTTGTTACACTGTCATTGCTTATTTATTGGTTCTGTTACCCACTAAACCTAAGAACAGGGACTTCATCTATCTGGTAAGACTTCCAAATGGGTCCGAGGTCTGCCACATGGCAGGAGCTCAACAAACATTTATTGATAAACCTATGTCTTGGCTGTTCAGAGATCCCTGTCCAGGCTTCTACTCCCAGATGATGGGCTAACCTGGGGAGGTGTGTTAAGAGGACTTAACCACTTCCTCGATCCAGTTCTACCCTGTGTAACTCAGTCCAATTAGTGTCATACTAACACCAAAGCCAGATATGTAAAGAAGCAAAAATTTCTACTCCTTCCTACCTAAACATGCATATACTCCCTTCTCTTCAACAAACAGGCATTGCCCACTCAGTATCACTTCAAGGCCTTGCAAGGAGTGAAAAGTAAACTCCAGTAACAACTCCAGGTTTGGGGATGTACCACAGCAGTCCTTGCCTGGAAAGTGAGACTCTGCTAGACAAGATGGGAAAGCCATGGCAATGACAGGGAAAAAAGGCAGACAGGTGGACAGAACAGGGTGAGGAAGACCTGGCTTTTAACCCCACTCTGCTAACCACATCTGTGGGTTTCAACTTCCTCTTCGTGCAATGGTGACACTATCTTCTTCTCTAGGTGGCTGCAGGACTTGAGTTAGTGTGTAAAACACTAACACATGTCAAATATTAGGCACCTGAAGAGTGTTAGTTTCCTTCTGCTTAAGGGCTAGGCTGAATTGGCACTAAACATATTTCCTTCCCAGAAGAGCTTCTGTGAGGCAACCAAGAAAGAGTTCCTAGAGGACTGTTACTACAAGGTGATTAGGCATTACCTGAGAACTTGTTAGAAAATGCAGAAGCTCAGGTCCCACTCTAGATCTACTGAGTCAGATTCTGCACTGTAACTAGAGTGTCAGGTGATTCACTCACAATATCAAGTTGGAAAAGCACCACCTTGACTACAGCTAAGCTTAGTACCATAATGCCATTATAAAACCACCACTCAGCACTGAAGACAGTTGGAATGAGGGCAAGGGCAAGGAAAAAGAGCTCTTGTTCAGAAACTTTAGCTAAAGGTGAGTTCACCTAACTTTGGAAGAAGTTAGGAAGAGAGAGGAACCATAATAGGACCATAGGAAAGTCCAATTCTTTAGGCTTGGAGATCCCTGGAGTTCTTAGGTTATACAACTGAGGATACAATACAATTTATAATTTGTTTTTCTAATGCATTCATTTTTCTCAGTGAATCCTATCACAAGCTCAGAAGATGGTACACTTACAGACATCCCATTTTACAGATGAGAAAACTAAGGCTTAATCTTTCAACTCCTCCAAACTGGTTGTCCTGCTTGAAAGCCTTCAGTGACTCCTGGTTGCCAACAGCAGCAGCTCTCAGATTATAGCATATGTAAGACTGATCTAAAGAGCTCTCTGAGACTGTAGACTGTGGAAAGTCTTATTCAGGGGCCCTAGAATCTGTGTAATAAGTGTTCAGGGATGCTAGAAAATAAAACCACTAACACCCACAGGTTTACACTCCTTGGCCTGATGATCAAGACTCTGTATAAGCTGGTCCCAAAGGACATTTCAGGGACACTCCTACTCATCCTTCCAATTCCAGCTGAAAAGGATCTCCACCATGGGGTCTTCCCAAACACTCACAGACCAGACTGCTGTAGGCCTACAAGAGCACTTCTCGAACCTTAATGTGCATACAAATCACTGGGACATCTTGTTATGCTGTGATTTTGACTGATTCAGTGGCTCTGGTGCTCGAGATTCAGAGTCTCTAGCCAGTTCCTGGATTCACTGATGGGTAGAGATGGCCTGCTACACTTTGAGCATGACTCTACTGTAGCACTTATCCTAACATTGCATTCATGGCGCCAGGCTTTCACAGATATTATTGACAACAACTAGAATTCCCTTAAAATCAGCAGCAAGCAGGGAGATTAGGGGAACAAACTCTGAGACTGACATAAAGCATTTCCTAGAGTCTCAATGCTGTGATTTTTTTAGTGTCAAACAACTGCTACCATTTACTGACCGCCTACAGGCTGCAGCCTGTGCCAGATGTTTTATGTCTCCTCTAATATGAAAGCTCTCAGACCTTGGTAGGCCCTAAATAAATAGTAGCACTTAATTCTAATTTTTACAACAAACATGCCAGGCTTGTAACAGCCACATTCATCATCAGGGATCACACTAGCCACTTTTCTAAAGAGGTACACTTACCAATGAGACAACCAACAGACAAAGAAGTAAAATAACTTGCCCAAGTTAGTTACACAAGCAAGGCAGCCAGCATGTAAACTCAAGCAATCAGACTGAAGACCTCAATCAGGCTCATAAGCATGTTGACACAGCACACCTCCCATCCACATTCCCTTAAGAAAGGACACTGAGGTTCAGAGGTGAGGTGTGAAGTCAGCAGCCTTAGGACAATGAGCTGCTATAGGATGGGAGTGAAACTGAAGTCCAGGGCTGTAACTACCAACCTCCATTCTACCATTTTACGCCATGATGCCTTGCCAGTGTTACACATCAAACCCTAAAAAAAACAAAGATGTGGATAAGGCTTAACACCTGGGGAAAGTGAGTCTGCTCAGCCCAGCAACCTGCTCAGCTGCAGACTTCCTGATTCTGGGGATGAGTTGTCAAGGCCTCCCCATACAGGCCCACCCTGGTCACATGATACTCACGTGTCTTTCTCCTTCTCAGAACTTTCATACTCCAGGAACACGATGTGCTGGGGGTAGTGGCCACAGATATCCCCATTCACATTTTGGATCACACTGTAACAGTAGTCTCGGCCAAACAGCTCCAGACACCTCTTCTCGATGCGCTCAACCTGCACAGAGAAGGAGACCTGAGCATAAAGAAGATTTGGGGGCTCTGAGTGTGAGAATTAGGTGGTTTGTGACCTGGAGAGGTCACTGGGAATGACATGTGCCTCTTTGATTACTATTCAATGCCAGGAAAAGACCTATTGCTGGGTCAGAGGCCCTAAATATGTAGTTCGTTAACCAATATGTGGTATACTATGGGAGGGGCTCTGAACCCCTCTATGTTGCAGTGAAATTGTTTTGTTAAGCATTTGAAGGAGAGGATTACAGCTTTCATTTCAGCCTTCCAGGTCTGGCAATAAGGAGACTGAAGAGAATTCCAAGGGTAGAAAAAAGAAGAACTGAAGCCTGCTTTTGATAAAGGAACAGAGAGAGTGTGGGCTGTCTTCCTGCTCTATAGGGGAAGGAAGGGGATGGGCCTAAATTCAGTGTCATGCTGTATAGGAAACAGTATAAGAAGACAACACAGTTGATCTTTAGGCTCCATTCAGCCCTACTACTCCAGCCCCTTCAGTCTGACCTTTGAACTGAAGGAATACTCCAGACTTTTTTTTTTTTTTAACCTAGACTGGGGGCTAAACTTTTTTTTTTTTTTTTAATCTAGGCTTTTGTCCCCGCCCAATGCAGGGGAGTAACCCTCCTCAGCTCCTCCTCTAATTTCTGAACCGGCCCCTCACGCTGATCCTTGACCTCCAAACCCCCTGTCTCAAACCAAAAGGATATTCTTCCTTGCCTCCATCTGACCTCGGTTCCTCCTTTTTCGTTTTTTAAACCGACCCTTACTCTCCGGATCCAGATCCTGGGAACTCTTCTTCCTCTGACCCCTAACCTCAGCCTTTCCGCTGTAACTTCCCAAGCCAGGGACCTTCTCCTGCTCATCACGCCTCCGAACTCACCTTAGAGCCGCCCGTCCCGCTGCAGTCCTTGGCCCGGTACTGAGTCCTGGAGAACTCCTCCAGCAACTCCCCGAGTCCCGGCTCCTGCGGCGGCGGGTTGCCCGAAGAAGTCGAGGATCCGGCCGAAGCAGCGGCGGCCGCCCGAGCGCCAGCCATGGCCCAGCCCCAAGCCCCTTCAGCGTCCGGCGTCCTCTTCAGCGCGCCTCAGCCCGGCCCATGGTACCTGGAGGCACCGACTCCAAGTCCGGAACCTCCAGAACCGCTTCAGCCACCGCCTTCCGCTTTCACTTCCGGCCCCGCCCCACCCTGCCGGATGTTTACCTTGCACTGGCCAATCGGAGCCCGGGACTCGCGCCCCGCCCCAGGATTACCGGCCCACCCTCAGACGCGGAGCGATCCAAGTGGTCTCGGGGGAGGGCGCCGAACCACTCGCGGACACCTCGTGCTCCGCCCCTTGGGTTTCCCTTGGGGAAGCCGGGCTAAACCATTGGGGCTGCGGCGGCGGGGGGGGGGCAGCGAGGGAAGCGGGAGGAAGGAACCTGGGAAAGAAGCAGAGTGAGAGTGAAATAATCCATTACAGGGAGAGAAGGAGGAATCTCTTGGAGGCAACTCTCGTTGGCAGCCATAGTAATAATAGTAACAAGACAGCATTTCCTAAGGCGCTCTGCTTGCACTGCTCCGTACAACATCCCCGTGATCTGACAGTGCTCCTATGGGCTACCTATCTTATTGAAGAAGATAACTCCAGTCATAATTGGCTTGAAATTCTTTTTCTTTTTTTTAAATTTGTATTTATTGAGTTTTAGAAAGAGAGAGGGAGAGAGAAACATCCATTTGTTGTTCCACTTACTTATGCATCCATTGGTTGATTCTTNGTTATTCAGGAGTGTGTAATTTAAATTCCACATCTTTGGGAATTTTCCAGTTTTCCTCCTGTTACTGATTTCTAGTTTCATCCATTGTGGTTGAAAAATACTTGATACGATTTCAATCTTAACTTTGTTAAAAATTGTTTTGTGGCCTAAAATGATTTATCCTGGATAATATTCCATGTGCAATTGAGAAGAATGTTTATCTGTTTCCACTGGGTGGAATGTTTTATTTATATATATATATATATATATATATATATATTTTTTTTTTTTTTTAAATATCTTTATTGATCAGAGAGAGGAAGAGAGAGAGAAACATCAGTGATGAGAGAGTCATTGATCGGCTGCCTCCTGCACGCCCGGGACTGGGGCTGGAGCCCACAACCGCGGTATGTGCCCTGAGGGGGAATCCAGCCGCAATCTCCTGGACCCAGGTCGATGTTTAACCGCTGAGCCACGCCTGGTTGGGCTCATTTTTATTTTTTTAAATTCTCACCTGAGGGTATTTTTTTCTCTCCACGGCTTTTCAGAGAGAGTGGAAGGGAGGGGGAGAGAGACATCAATGTGAGAGACTGGAGGAGGGGGAGGGGAAAGGAGAAGGGGGAAAGGGGAGCAGGGAGGAACCCACAACCCAGGTAGTGCCCTTGACCAGGAATCCAACCCAGGACCCTTCCGTGCATGGGTGGGCGCTCTAACCACTGAACACGCGGGCCAGGGCCCCTTGGTTGATTCTTGTACATGCCCTGACCAGGGGTCAAACTCACAACCTTGGCACATGGGGTCATGCTTTAACCAACTGAGTTAACTCTGCCAGGACTTTTGCTTAAAAGTCTATGATTAAAAAGCCCCATATTCTTTTTTTCCTTAATGGTCTTAATAAGAACATTCAAACCTATAAAAAAAAAAAAAAAGTATGAGTTTATTTGAGCAAAAGAGGCAACAATTGCTGGGATGCAAGATCTCAAAAGCTCTGACCCTAGTGGGTTTGGCTTAGTGGTTAGAGCATCTGCCCATGGACTGGAGGGCCCCTGGTTCGATTCTGGCTAAGGGCACGTACCTTGGTTGCAGGCTCGATCCTAGTACCAGCCGGGTATGTGTGCAGGAGGCAACCAATCGATGTGTCTCTCTCACATCGATGTTTCTCTCTCTCTCTCCCATTTCTACTCTCTCTGAAAAAAGAAATGGAAAAAATATCCTCAGGTGAGGATTAAAAAAAAAAAAAAATCTCAAAAGCTCAGGAAAATTGAGTTTTGCAGTTTCTTTCATACATTTGAAATTAAGGAGTAAATTTAAGGAAGATTACCTGAAGTTGGGAGAAAGAAGGGTGGGGAGCCCTGCTGGGCACAGCTCAGTGGTGGAGTATCCACCTACGATACAGGAGGTGGTGGTTAAATTCCAGGTCAGGGCACATGCCCGGGTTGAGGGCTCAATCCCCAGTAGGGGGCGTGCAGGAGGCAGCCGATCAATGACTCTCTCATCACTGATATTTCTCTCTCTCTCTCCCTCTCCTTTCCGCTCTCTGAAATCAATAAAGATATATTTTTAAAAAAAGAAGGGTGGGGATTGGATTACAGGATAGTTAACAAGATTATGTGCTCTCTTGAGGGTGATCAAACTTATTTGAAAAGGTGTGTTAATCTAGATGCACACAAAAAATGGAAAGAGCTTGCTTAAGGCAGAGATAAATCTTTGACTAAAAGTTATATGTCCACCATGATCTGCTCAGTTAGCAATTTATGATCAGATAACCCTGTGAGGTTCTTTCTGCAGAACTCCTTTTTCATGCACAACGGAGTATTGCAAACATTCACAGAAGTGGAGAAAATAGTGTTACCGGAAAGGGGACCGTTAGATGGGCCAGTACAGAAACCCAGGTACAGAAACTCACTAGGGCCGGAAGGCAAGAATCTTGTCCCCAGAGTAATCTATCTTCCCCTAGCATATCGCTGGTCATGTGGTTTAGACCCCCTGAGCGTTTTCTCCCTAAAGATAACATTTAGGCCTCAGTAGTATTTCAACTCCAGGCCCAGAAAAGCAGTGAAACCAGACAAGTGGCACCCATGGGTGCCTCAGGACCAGCTACATAGACTAATGACCTCTGCTCTGGCACTGACCAATCAGCGGAGACAGTGACCCTGAAAGCTGATGGGTCACCCGGAAAGCTGATGAATATTCTATTAAGACCCTCCTCTGGATCTCTCCTAAGATTCCCACCTTCAAGAAAGAGATAAATACACTTAGGACCAAGGACTCAGTGAGCACTCCCCACCAAGGGAGAGCGCCAGCACCGTCTCCATCCCCCTTCTTCCCTTGGAGGGGACCCCACCAGACTTGGAAGCAGTAGGTAGTGGCAGCTTGCCCGGGGCTTACCCCCTAAACCTGTTTCCAAGGCCCCCTTCTCTCTCTCTGACTTCTCAGTAAGCCAGATCAGCCCAGCCTAGACTCTCCAATTACTTCTTCCATGTGCCTTCCTTGTTTCACAATACCAAGTTTATTTTTGCTGCCATCATGGACCCAATACCCTTTGACTCAGGGGGCGTGCAGGAGGCAGCCAGTCAATGACTCTCTCATCGCTGATGTTTCTATCTCTCTCTCCCTCTCTCTAAAATCAATAAAAAAACATATTTTAAAAAAAGAACGAAAAAAGGAGCTACTTGGGAATCATTAATTCAGGCAGAAGCCCAAATAATATTCCTATTTGAAGACCAAAGCAATGGGTATTTATGAAAAAGAGAAGGGGAATTATTACATCAGTACAAGGAAAGCATTTCTATTGGTGGAGATAACACAGCATAGTGATATGCATTCTAAATGTTTTCATTTTTCCGTCTAGTAGTCATCTTGTTATCTTTGTAAACACTTCTTTGGGAAACAAGGTTGTTTAGGCCATTTTAACATTCCAAGTATTTGAGACATAAGATGTGCAAGGCAGCTCTGTCTCCACTTGAAGGTGACTTTGTTTATATTAGTGTTTACACATATCTCTTCCAGTCAGTCGCTTTTGTTTTCCTTAGATAAATACCAGTACCCAGAAGGGAGACTGTTGGATCATATGGTAGTTCTATTTTTAATTTTTTTGAGGAACCTCCATACTGTTTCCCATAGTGGCTGTATTAATTTACATTCCTACCAACAGTGCACAAGGGTTCCCTTTCTCCACACCCTCGCCAACACTTGTTATTTCTTGTCTCTCTGATAATAGCCATTCTAGCAGGTGTGAAGTGATATCTCACTGGTTTTGATTTGCATTTTCCTGATGATTTGTGATGTTGAGCACCTTTCATGTACCTGTTGGACATCTGTAGGTCTTCTTTGGAAAATGTTGTTTCAGAACCTCTGCCCATTTTTAAATTGGATTGCTAGTTTTTGCTATTGAGTTCTATGAGTTTTTAAAATATATTTTGGATATTAACCTCTTATCAAATATATGATTTGCAAATACTGTATCCCATTTGGTAAATTGCCTTTTCAGTTTGTTGACGGTTTTCTTTGCTGTGTGGGAGCTATTTAGTTCGGTGTTTATTTTTGCTTTTGATGCATTTGGTTATAGTGTCAGAACAAAAAATCGTTGCCCAGACCTATGTCAAGAGCTTACCACCTATGTTTTCTTCTAGGAGTTTCATGGTTTTAGTTACCTTATCATTTTAACTTGATTATCTCTGTAAAGATCCTATTTCCAAATAAGGTCACATTCTGAGGTACTGAGGGTTAGGAATTCAATCTTTTTTGGGGGAAAGGCACAATTTAACCTATAAGAGGAGGTGTAGACAGAAAGATTGTCCACTGCGACAGCTCCCTGCTTCTCCCCTTTGAAGTGGCTGCTTCCTCTTATATCATAAGATGAGTGACAGGAATGACCATCCACTTAGCACTTTCCTTTCTCCTTTGGGGCACTGAGGGGGAAGCTTCCTCTGTTTTCTAATAGAAATATTATGAAAAAGTCATCAAACAAATATTTTACTAACAGAGAAAAAGGAAAATACTGAAGGATATTTCATGCTTTTATTCCCACCCCTTGCAACTTATAGAAACTACCCCGTGGGAGTGGAATACCCCAAGCCAGCCGTGTCCTTCTGGTGGCAGCTCACCCAGTCTGCTACATGATGAAGGAAGTATGTGGCTAAGAAGTCCTTTGTCTGCTCTGCAGGTTGCCCAGAGTCCCCTGACACATGGTCTTCTCACCTGTATCAGTCATGGGGCGAGCAGGAAGTAGATGGCACATTGATTTGGATAAATGGGGGAAGGTCTAATAAAGGGACTAGTTACCAAGGTGTGGCCCTGGTGTAGGGAAAACACGAGGGATAATGCAGTGCCTGAGACTAGTGACAGGAAGGTGTTCATCCCCCTAGCCAAGGGGATGTGCAGAAACAGAGGGCTACATATACAGAGTTGTCTTGATAAGACCTCTGTCCTCCCACCTTAACACTACATAATGTCCAAAATGACA